AAGAAAATTAATTGAAACCCAATTTCGTATACATAATTATAATGACATTAATAAAACGTACTTGCAATCTTGAGGAACGCTCCACGAAGGAGTGGAGGCAGCTTTGTCCCGGGGAGTCTGCGTAAAAAAGGTATTCCAGTCATGGAGCAGAATCTTGAGATCGTGAACTTTGTTGTCGAGGCCGACGCAGCAATTGGCGTGCATGGTGGAGACCCGGTTGAAGTCCCGGCTGGGCTGACAGAAGCCTCCGAAGTTGGCAGTGTCCAGAAACCTTATCTTGAGGCCTATTTTAGAGATCAATGGGCTGGTCTTGATCTTGTTGAGCACGTCTTGGTCGTGCTGGCCCGGATATATGGTCCTGGATTGGTACCAAAACTTGTAGAATTTGATTGTTTTGGGATTTGATTTGACGTAGGTGAACCCCCCGTTGGGGCGGTTGTTTAGATCCTCCGAATTCCCCAGAAAGTAATCGCACGCAATCTGAAAATCCGCATCTGGGTGGAAGTGGTTGAAGGGGTCTTGGAGCCACATGATATCAGAATCCTGCGCCAACCCAACAAATAAAACTGTGTTAGTAACTGAAGAACGAGTGTTTGGTTTTGGTTTTAGGGGCATTTTGCATTACGGTGAAGACGAAGCTGAAACCCATCCGGAGAACAGAGGTGAGAAATTCGATTCTCCGCCACATCATCTGGAGGTAGTCAGAGGTCATGAAGTAGGCCTCGCTGGAGAAATTGATGCCTTGTGTGTCCAGTTCGTAGCAATGCGGGTGCAACGCCACGCAACGGGCATACGCCTTTTTGTCCATCGTCACTATTACCAAGTGCTTCAGTAGCCTCTCCGTTCCGTTTCCGATGTGGAAGCTTTCCAGAAACAGATCCAGTAGCGAACCCGGCTCCGCCCACGCGTCGTTCAGTGTTGTCAATATTACCGTTCCATCTTCCGTCGATGCATTCTTCAGAATTTTTTCCTGTTTTTCATTTTCAATCTGTTTATATTAAACCATTTTTGGAACAGGAAAAAGAATAGGCAGAGAGCAGTTGGAGAGCGGGGGAATTTGTTTCTATATATTAGGGTTTAGACTTTAGTTTGGGAGAGAAAAAGATAATAATTGCAGCACAATCACCCACTCCGCATTGTAAAATCCTGTCCCCTTGCCTTCCCCTAACTCTAACTCCATCACATTCTCTCTCTCTCTCTCTCTGGCATATTATTAAATATATCTATTCACAGCCGCACACAATTCCACCCTACTCTAAATCACAAGAAATTCTCTAGACCGATGAATATCTATCTTGTGCTTATTATCATTCGACGAAAATTGACAAATAGGAATGGAAAATGTAAAAATAGAGAATCTTTAAAAGGACGATGAATTATCCATTTCTCAATGAAGTGACATAGAGACGGACGCCCACCATTAGCACCTCAAATATCTTCCGTGTGAAATTCATTTCAAATTCCATCCTATCTATTTAAAACCTCAAGAACAAGAAGGAAAAGAGAGAGAGAGAAAAATATATGGTGCCCACTCCACTCGCCACGAGAACAGAACGCAACGCACGCGCTGCAGAGGACGGCAGACGCTCCCTCACCCACCAAGATTGATTATCCAAGAATTCCGCCCACATTTTTTTTTTGGTTGTTAAAAGGGAAAACCATTACATGGTTTATTAAAGAGGTGAAGTCCTCCCTTGGCCTTTAGATATAAATATATCAGTTCAGGAACAAATTACAGCGGTCTCCGTTAAACTCATTCATTAAACCGAGGACTGGAAAATCGAGTTTCTAATTGGGCGTAGTTGGATGTTGGAAGGAAGGTGTAGAAAATTCCTTGGGTTTCATTCCGATTCTATAATCTAGAAGGCACTAAACGGAATCGGTATCGGAATCAGAAGGGCAGCGATTATGCAGAAAAACAAACAAGAGATGATTGTGATTGAAAATGAGAAATAATTAGAAAAAATGTCGAGAAAGTGAGAGAGAACTGACCAGAAGAGGGTCTGTGGTGAGAGAAGGGGATGCAGAGGGGCGGTAGGTGGTGTAGGAAACGGGGAGAAATCTGAAAGGATTAATGGCGGAGTTGTAGAGAACGAGGATAGCCAGAGCAACGCCGAGCAGCACGAAGGAGATCCTGACCGTCCTCCGGGGAACAATGGTGGAAGGAGCGGCGGCGATTTGAAGGTCAGCGGCGGAATTGGAATCCTTCATCGAATAGATTGTGTATTGGTGTGGAGATGAGGAGGAGGAGGAGGTTAATGCTATGTATATATTTTGATGGTGGGCGTAATGGTTGACTCGGACTGGGGAATTAAAAGTAGACGAAAGGAAGTCAAAGGCATAGCCATGGCGTTGTTGTCATGTGGACGTCAGAGAGACAGAAGAAAGAAATTAATTAAAGTAGCAAATGGCAATAAAAAAATAAAAAACTAAAAGATTATTGGTGGAGAAGGAGGAGAGGAAGCAGACAGCAGGCGAGGCGATGATATTATAGGAGATAGAGATAGGGTTATTGCAATTTGGGAATGCCGGCTGCCGCCCTCTCTAATCCTGAATCCTCATGCTCCCTCCTCCTCCTCCTTAGTTTGTCTCTCTTATCCAATTCCCCCATTGATTACTATTTCTGAAAATGACTGCAATTAGAACCGGAATCTCCCTCCCCTCCCTAAATATCAAATGCTTTCATTCCCACTTTTACCCTCTCAACCCTCTACTCTATTTTCTTTCATAACCCACCCAAAAAATACAAATTACAAGGCAAATATCACCGCCCTTATTTATTATTATTATTATTATTATTATTATTATGTTCAGGAATTGACACCCGTCTCTCATTAAAAGGTTAATTTTTAACTCTATTTATTGTATTAAAAAAATATTATTATTATTATTGTTATTTGAGAATCACAATTTAATTCTCAACCGGGACTCCAAACCACCTGGTCTAACTCCGAGGATGTCAATTTCAGTGTTTGATTTGGATACCTTTCAACGCAAGTCCAACCGGCTCTTTGCCTGGCTGTCGGTTTTCAACCTCCTTCATTTATTAACCATAGTTAATCACTCCCTCAAGTCCGTCCCCATTGCCTTATCTGTCTATTGATTTAATTGGCCAACACATATGATATGAGTTGGGATTCCCATTTTCTTTTTTTATATACTATTTTCTAAAATATTCCATTTTCTTATCTGTAACTTTCACATTAAAACTAAAATATCGTTAATTATTTATATCTCAAAAACAAAAATATTGAGTTTTCAACCTGTCCTGTCCGTCAGAAGAAAAAACGGGGGAAAGAAAATTAAAAGAATTTATAATAATCAACAAGGAGGAGGAAGGAAGAGTATGCGAAGTTGAAATAATTGAGCCGGTTTTAAGGACCACTTGCAAATTGCGAAAAACACGCCATCGAAGTGTTCGTTTTGGGACAATAACAATTTTAAAATGTTACCTAATGTCTGCTACAACTTTTTCAAAACAAGAAATTCCGTAAATTAGAGTTCAACAAAACTTGTCTGCCCTTTTCTACCGCTAAAAGATATTATTTGTTCTAACCCATCTTTTTATATTCCAAGACTTCATTTTTAAAATTTATTTAAGATTTTAATATTTTTTTAAATTATAAAATATATACAACACTTGGTTCTAATTTTTTTTTTTACTCAAAATTGGGCGTAACTGGTTTTGAATCTACAAGTCATTCCAGTACCAAAACAAAAATGATTTCAAAAATTAAAGATTTAGATATAAATCAGCTATAGAAAAGTAACTGATTATTAAGCTGCCACCCTACGTTGTAGCTTTTTTTCTTCTTTTTTACAATTAATCTTAAAAAAGAGGAAATTATCAAAGATGACAAAATTACCTTCCATTTATGCGATAACTTTTTTTTTTTTTTTTTTAACTTTTACCTCGACAAGAGAGCGTAACTTCAAAAAGAAAAAAAAAAAAAGAATTTATTCATGTGCGTCAATTGGTACAGAGTAGTCCACATGGGTTGGCAATCTCATAACAAGTTATTTGAACTGACCAATGATTATTTTAATTAATTTATATAAATAAAGTTGGAAGTATTAAAAGGGTTATAACGGTAAATCACCGTATGCTTGATCAACTCCAGAAAACTTCCTTAGAATGTAGTAAGCAAGAAAGAGGGAGGCACCCAAAAGGCACCATTTTCCCAAAGGGCTTCCATTTTTTATGTTCCATAGCCCATAGCCACCCTGATCTCCGTTCCTGCAAGAATTAATCAACTATATTAATGGCTTCTCTCATTTGCTTTCAAATCTTTTAGATTCTTACTAATGTTATATGATATAAACTTCAAATCTTCAGGGGTGTTGAGTTCAAACTTGTAAGCATTTTATTTTTGGTTTTCTGTTTATAAACACTAGTACTATGTGTTTTTACTAGGGGTGGAAAACTGAAGCAACGCATAATTTCTAGATATAGAAAACTCAAAAAACAAGTAGTTATCTTGCAAGTTCAACACAAGAGCTAGGTAATATGCCTTGGTCTTGGCTCGGAATGAGCCGCAGCTGGTTTCCTGGATCGGAGCTCCGAGTTCGGCTGTTGTGGCGTGGTTGCGGTAGTTGGAGCTGGCGAGGATTCTTCGGTAGGGACTGGAATGTTCTTCACCTGTAACATGATTTAGACTTCTGCTTAAAACAACTGATATGCTTGATCTCATTATATGTTGAAGATGTAGTCTCCTTTGAACACTTACCAATTTCCTAAACAAGAGAGAGTAGATTATTTCAATGTATCTCAGCTTGGCTTGTTTTTGGTCCTTGGTTAACTGCCTCCAAAACCCATAAACTGATCCCATGTTCAGAGCTTTCTTTGCATATATGTTCCAAGTGTAGCTGCAAAACCATAATCAACAAGTGAACATCTAGATCATGCAGATTTTGTTATATTTGATGTTTATGATTTACTTACCTTTCGTATATTCGCCGAAGACCGGCCTCGGACATCTTGTTCCAATATCCAGCATCTGACTTGCACTTCTCAAAGAAGGCAGCAATCTTTTTGCTTGATTCATCTCCGTTGTTCGGATCGATGTGGAACCCCGAGACTCCGTCGACAAGAATCTCTGCGGGGCCTCCTTGGTTTGTTGCAAAAGTAGGCAATCCACAGTTCATTGCCTCAATGACTGTTAGGCCAAAAGCCTCGTAAAGTGCAGGCTGCACAAAAGCTCCCTTTGTATCCGCGATGCACCGGTATAGCTCGCCGTTGCGAAACCGATCAGTTTGAGCTGCTATCCATCTGATTTGTCCCCTGAGTTTATATCTTTCTATCAGGGAATGCATCTTTTTGATCTCTGCAATTTCTTCCCTGTCCTTTGATTTGGATGGATCAAAGAATCCAGCCACAACCACAAGGTTTACTAAACTTCTCAGCTTCCTGTTTTTACCATACCATTCAGTCAGTCCTGTAATATTTTTAACTGTATCAAGCCTTGCCATTGAGAAGATTATTGGCTTCTTCCTATCTGCAAGGAAACCTCTGTTCCAGAAATTTACAAGATAGGAAGTTAGAAGTGTACTGATGATTTTCAAATACTGTGTAGTGCAGAAGAGATGGAGAAAACGCATCAATTACATGTGCTCATCATTGTTTTCTTTGCCATAAAGTAGTTCCTCAATTTCGGGATGAAATTTAGTCAATCGCTTCGATTCCTCTGTGTAGGGAAAGTAGACAGATTGATCAGCCCCAGGAGCAGCAATGTTGAATTTGGGGTCAAACACATTGATACCTGAGACAACCCTATAAAGCCCAGGCATAGTAAAAGCCTCATGGCTTTCATATTGTCCAGGTCTGCTTTTGCTGTTGGACAAAACCTTTTGGTTAGCTTTTTAGAAGAATGCAGATCCAGCTGAGTTAATTACTGTTTAGTATTTTCTAACCTTCCGGAAATTTCTTGATATGTACTGGTTATAATGAAATCAGTTGCATTCATTGAGATCATGTCAGCTGTGAATTGACAGGAAAAATGATACTTGGGATCAAGCTCCTTCCATTTAGCATCTGAATCTTCGTATTTAGTTTTCTCTAAAGCGTGTGCGATAGTTCCCTGGTATCAAAGAAACTCAAGAATTTAGGAGTCCAGAAACCAAACATGAGTGTTTTTTTCAATCTATTTTTTGTTCCTCATATGAAGTGGGTCTATCACCTGTGTAATTCCAAGTTTCTTAGCCATCAAAGAAGCAACCAAGTTTCCATCAGTGTAGTTGCCAATGATGAGGTCTGGTTTACATTCCATAACTTCAAGGATCTTATCAGTGGCATCCTAGAAATGCAAATGAGAGTGGAGGATAAGCTAACAGAAGATGAATGAACTGGTTTGGCAAAATGTAAAAGAAGTTCTGAAATGAAGTACCTTGACAAATTTTTCCAAGTATGGATAGATGTCGAAGCGCGAAACCCATTGACGAAGGATGCCATTCTGTGTGAAAAATGGGACCCTGAGAATGTGAGAATGCTTTGTGTTTTCAACAGGCTCCAACTCCTGATTGCACTTCGTCCCTTGCGCGTCGGGTATAAGTCTCGTCACCTAAATGTGTCATTTGCAGTGCAGATTAAAGCATATGCTTCTGTGCCAAGAGGCAGAAACAAGGACAATGATATTGTGATCTCATATGCCTATAACAAACGTACCACAATAATCTGAGGCTTTGCTTTCAGGCCTTGCTGCTCAATCCTATGCAGCAATTCTTCTTCTAAAGCTCTCACTTGATCCAGAATGTAGACAACCTAGTCATCATTCTTGCAGCATGTGAGTAATACACAAGTCTGCAAAAATTTCAGGATGAGAACATTCTATTACTGAAATAAACAGTTGATCAAATTCAGACCTGACCACCGGTGTCGGGCAATCCGAGGACGCCCGCCTGGCCGAAATAGCCGTGAGGCGAAAAGATTACTACATTGAATGTGGTTGGAAGCTTGCTAAACAGTAACTCCAGTTTTTCTGGATCTGGTGCTTGGAGAACCTCAGAAAGAGTTAACATTGTTTCTCTGACTCTTTCTGCAGTACTTCCCCATCCTCTCTCAAATCCCCAGCCTTTCATCCTTTTGAGTATGAACGATAAACAATGCAATTAAATACAAGTTTACAAAAATAGGATTACAAAACAAGATTTCTTACGTTTTAGTAAGAGATAAAAATTCTTGGTCACCTGTGCTTAAATTCTTCATATGGTGTGTCTTTTGGCAGTGAAGATACATACACTTGTGCTGCAAGCACTGCCGTTTGAAGCTTGGAAACTGTGTTAAGTTTCTTATTGATCATAAGGCTCTGCAAGATTCAAATCCAAATACGTAATTCCTTGAATTGGGGTGCCAAAGTTTTCTTAAAATCTTCAACTTTCTGGAGTTCGGTGTTTCATATTTCCATACATACCTGTCCTCGATGGTGAAGAGCCAGCAGATAATCAACAAGTTCCTTAACATTCTGTGTATCCTTTCCAAACCTTGAGCTGATGAATTTCGAGATCAAGCTGACACCATTTCCGATCGACGATGGAAGGCTCAAGCGAGGGGCACTGAATTCAATGGCTCCAAAATCTATCTCCACAGCATTCTCATCATTTGCCCTGCACATAATACCAATCATTTTGCTAACTTTTACATTCATCAATCTAGAACTAAATATGGGGATTGGAAAGCAGAGCTTTTTTTGGCAATCAGCGTTCGTTGTTTTTTGTACACTCACCAATTCTCGTCAAAGATGGCTTCCTTAAATCTCAAGTACTCCGAAGCTGTAAGGCCTTCTACTTCCAAACTATCAGCATTCACCTTAACAAACTCCCAAAAACCAGGACTCGGCCGCACAGCTAGAGCGACATTCGGAGGGACAACAGCTGCCTCCTGCATATTCTCAGCCATCAAAATCCATCCTCATTCAAAGTATAAACAGTAGAAAAAGAGAGTTTCAAAATTACCTGAGTGTTACTGAGAATATAGCCAAGCAAGCCTTCCAAAACCTGGCTCCTCTCACGCTTGTCTTCAATTGTTATCTCCACATCCTTCATCAAGTTTTGGGATTTCATCAACCTTTTCCCATTCACAATAAACCTATTCACTCATATGGGTTAGCTTCATATCTCAAAAAGTTACAATTTTGTGTAGCAGAGGAACTGTGTTACCTGGAAAAGCATTTCTTCGTTGGATTATGGGTTTGCTTCAATGCATCGGTTAGACTTTCAGCAATTGGGGTATCTAATCTCATCAACGCGGCTGTTGCAGTGGCCATTTCTTCCAACAATTACACAACTTTCTCGATGAAGGAAGTAATAATTGCTCTGCTCTTTCCTTGTGATCTTTTGATATATATACTCACATTGAAAGACATTAAGAAATGTTATATTTGGTGAAGAGTGAGAGAGACATAAGGCTGAAACAGAAACAAGAATGGCGATTGAAGAGAAGAACATTCCTCAGGTTTCAGATATGGAAAGCAAGAAAGGAATTTAATTGTGGGAAGTTATTTCAGATTGCCTTTTCACAAAGATTTTTTTTTTTAGAGATGGAGGTAAAGAACTTCAAGCCACATTGTTTAGTTTTCTTTTGGTTTTTCATTGGTATTGAGAGGCTGCCTTTTATTCTTTCCTTCTTTCAATTTCATAAAGTTGCAGTTGCAGCAGCCTGAGATTCTCAAGATACTTTTGAAATTTTAGGCGTTTGGAGTTACCATGATTGAGAAGTTTCTGCTTTCAAACGTTATGTTGATTAGTTAAACAAAGTTGTAATTACTGGATTATTGGACAGCCAAGATGGTTATTCTGCCAAAATGAATCAGAGAAGTGTTAATAAATCAAGCGAATATCTTTAATTAGGTTTGCTTCCCGCAGTTAAACAATCCAACTATTTAATATTTATTAAAACCTTGTTTAGGGTCATTTTCTCCTCTATATTTACTAATTATTATTACGCATGATTCAATTTTCTCGAACCGAACATAGCTCCGAGGTAATTGATATATATCCTCAACCAAAAGATTGTGAGTTCGATACCCCACCCCACACATGTTGTACTAAAAAAAAAGTGTTTCGCACAAAAGAAGTTCAGTTCAATTGTTGATACAGTTAACTCAAAATAATACCATCAAACTTAATATGATCATTTCCAAATCTTATGGCTGTAACTAGAACCATCATGTTTTAAAATTTTAAACTACGAATGGCCTTATAAAGATTTTGGCCATTTACTTACCTAATTTCATCATTCATGCATTGATTATTTTTCAATTAAATTTTAGACCAAAATTTTAATTATATTTCTAAAAACGTACAAATAAAAGTATAAGAAGCCAAAAGCTATAGGGGTTGAAGTAAGTATCTTTTTTTCTTTTTCTTTCTTCTTTTTTTTTTTTAGAAAAATCCTATCTTCTATTCAAAAGTAAAACAATTTATTTTATTTTTTAGTACAACACATTGGGATAAGCAGATTTGAACCTCCGAACTATGTTTATATTGGCGGAGAAGAAAGACAAATTCTAATTAATTTGATAATAATTTATGAAGTCTTTTATTTCAAAAAAAAAAAGTTTGATAATAATTTCATTTTTTGTTTTCTGTATTTAGAAATTATGTTTGATTTCTCATACTTTATAGATATGGTTTTTGCCTTCTTTTAAAACATTATGAATTATTTTTATTAKCCAAAATTATTTAAAAGAAAAAAGTTATTAAAAATTAATTTTATGATGTAATTTTAAGAGTAAAACATGGCACCATACCCCCCGATCCTATAATAGTTAATAACTAATTGAGTTCATTCTCCTTATCAATCAAACGTTTTTGCGAGTCTTCCCTCCTTAATAGAGCTGCTGCTTTGAATAATCTGTAGAGTCGATTTAAACTAAAACTGACCAACATTTCGAAGGAAGAAAATGTTGCTTTCAACATCCAACCAACACCGACCACCGACCAACGACCCCTAATCTGCTGCATTGGGTTTAGATGTATGAGACCTCAAATTTCCGAGTTACATTCAATATACCGAGCGCTCAAAGGAAAACCCATCAAGCAATAGATTGACAGTAAGATCAGTGGATGGGCATACATTCCTATAACATGATGAGGTTATAAAAGGGCAAAGAAATTCATGGACGCTAGCAATGCCTAAATTGGCTATATTCGTACATGCTTCAATTCTATAAAAATAATCAACTATATGTAAATTATAATAAAATTTCTATTTTCCATGAATAAACTAAATCACCTACTTTACAAAACAATTGGAATCAGAGACTATATAAATGAAGTAAACTAATCACTAGACGCAGAAACATTTGGTTTCCAAAAACAGAAAGCCATTTAACTAAAAGTTAACTCCAAACATCCACCTTTCCCATTATATAAACCATACAAAGAGCAGAGGAGCAGAAAATAGTGTTTCACATAGGCACCAAAGAAATTAAACATGAACCCACTGATGGGAGTCAGTCAACCACACAAAATAAACAAAGCAGGGTTTGGAATACTTAACCACACAAGTCATCAATATCACAAGCGAGAAGTTTAACACCTTCAAACCAAACTTCAGACTTCAAGTGGAACCAGTGGAAGATTTAAAATTTAAAGACAGGTAAGGACTAAGGAGGCCACCCCACACTTCAGCAATAGAACATAACCCTCTTAACATTCTCTTTCAGGGCCGGCAATGGACGAACAGCGGCATTCAAACCCGGAGCCCGTGTACTGCGAGCACCAGCACCAGCACCAGCAGCACCACCAACTCCACCTCGTCCAGCAGCAGCACCGCTGCTGATCGACCCACTATCAGAGGTTTCAGGTTCCATATAAAAACGAGCTCGGAATGCAGCAAGATGAGCGTAATACGCTGGGGGCACTGCAGAAGGTCAAACCAAATTAACAAACCACGAACCAGGGAAGAAGATAATACAACAAATATCTCATCCAGATGGGTTATGTGGAACAATTTCAAATCAAATCAATGGGAGACTCACCAATAGAAACAGAACGGGTACACCTTGCATACCTGCAACAATTGAAAATCCCAAATTTAAGCCAATCTCATACCCAAAAAATACATATACATATATATATATATATAAAACAGAGAGCTAGTCTCATAATTTGTGAGCGTTAGTAGTAAAGCAGAAACTTAGATGGGGGGAAAATAAAAGAATGTTATAAGCAATTTTAGCGAGGAATAACTCACGTATAGCAAAGGTTATTCGTTAGTGTCTGCAATCCATCAGCTGTGAACTTGTTCTCGTCCCACAAAACATGGTAATGAGCAGGACGACTTGTACCCTGGCCAACAAGTATCATAGGGTTATTTAATAACTCTTCATCCTGGCAATAGACATATTTAAGAATAAAATATTTCCATATATAATTCCTGCCTGGATTCCAGCATGGCTGCACAGGTAGAAGTCAAATTCAGTGGGATGACAAATTTTGGAGTCAACAACAGTACCTAACATATCCGTCGGCAAAGTTAAATTCATGTTTAGAAACAAAAATAAAAGAATGAAATAAACTAAGAAATTGTGCTTCAATAATAAAAACAAATCTTATGAGTACTAGCGGAATTTCAGTCAACAAACTCAATGCACAGTAAACTACTACATATTAGTCTAAATTATACCAGGTAATATGTTTCCACTCTTGTCAACCGCATGGCGGTCATTATGGTTATTTGCAAACAACCTAGTGTGATGACGCTTCTGTACCACAACAAAAGTCACTGGAGGTTGGTAGTTTGGTTCCAAAGAAGCACATGCCTAAACCGATTCAAACGGAAAAGTATATTAGCAACAAACACAAATACATCACCTATTACAAAATTCCCGAACCAGAAATATCACAAATCATCTTAAAGATACATGATCACATGCATATCCTTTTACCTTCCGAATGGCATCCAGCTCATGCAACAAAACTTGGTAGAATTGTCCTTCACTAACTCCATCCCTGCAAAATAAATTTTTGGATAGAAGTCAAACAAACAATAAATGAAAATGATGTTTTATTCACGATCAGACATTAGATAAGAAACAACAAAAAAATGCCTGTAAAATATGATGCGTTGGGGTTTCTGTCCAGTTGCTCTACGGAAGGAGATGAGGAGTTCCCTGTACCAAGGGAGGGGATGGGCAACAAATAAGGACACATCAGTTTATTAAGACAAGTTCAATGTGGAATCATGAAATAGATAAATTAAAATCATCAAGTTCATCTACACAGAGCACAAAAAACCACTTATAAGTCGTACTTGATCATTCCACCCGTTACTGTCCCCCTTACGGGATCTTGCCATGTTTTGAATAGATCTTGAATAAGCTCTTGCCTATGGGCTTGAGCACTGACTAAACCAGCATATTTTGTAACTTCCGGCCAATCTTGAGAAGCCACAACCTATTGTCAAGATATTAGTATCATATTAAAAGTGGCTTAAATTAAAAAAATAAACCAATAAAATTAAAAGGTGTCGTATGATCGTACAGCAGCAATGGATGGACTTGAGTCTTCCCCCGGATGAGGATGGGTTACATCAGCACCAAATATAATGGTAGGCCGGTCACTAACCAAGGGTATACGCCTAGATAACGCATCAACAAGAACAGTGTTCCTTCCCCCAACCTTGACATTAATCTTCAAGGCAACATTGGCCAAGTACTGTTTACTCATTTTGAAGACATGTTTTGTCAAACAGCACTGGGAAACGAGGCCAAGATCTGTCTCACAGATACGTTTTAAGTCACCTGAAAAAAATGGGGAAAAAGTGATTAAAAGACATCAAAATATTAATAATAAATAGAGTATTCCAATTGGCATACCATAAAGAGATCCATTGTTATCTGGTAAAACAACAATAAGCAAATCAAGCTCCTTTTTCTGGGGTTGGAGAATGCTCATTGCATCATGATACCGAGTTTTAAGGGCCTTTTCAACTTGATCAGGACGAGCAAAAATAGGAGGAAGCACTGGTTCCGGATTGAACGCCTACAATCATGGTAGAAAGCTTTAGCATTGGAAAAATTTGATGAAAACCTCACCACTTATTAAAGTCAATAAATTAATGTAAAGGAACCAAGGTTATTACCATGCCAGAAATGTAACACATTTGAGCAAGCTCAAAACAAAACCCACGAGTGACACTGTCTTGCACATAGCGAGAGAAATTGATGCACATCCAGTTGTTAACCGTACCACCATTGAACATTTTCTGCAATAATTCATGATGAACGAAGAATAAGCAGAAGTTATTCTTCCATAAATAAACTCTCAAACCCATTATTGGACAAACATCCAGCACAATAATAGAGATAACACACAAGCAAGGAAACTGACAGGGAAGGGAAAGTTCTCTCTCAAACAAGCCAACTAAACTAGCATGGACAAGGAATACGAAAACTTTTCATCCAGATGAATATGACATCTCACTCATTGTAGGACATAATATTAGATAACTTTAAATATATTAGATAACTTTAAATTTTAAGCTCCTCTTATAGCATACAAAATAAGGAA